TGGCTGCATCGAAATAATCTCTGCATTGCAAGTGAAAACAGGTTTGAAGAGGGGAGACTCTACCTTTCTTGCAGCTATGATAGAGATCAAACCGGACCAGCTTGTTGAAGTTCCGGATTCTGTTGCTGAAATTCTAGAGGAATTTACAGAAGTGATGCCACCAGAACTACCCAAGCAATTGCCCCCTCGATGTACTGTTGATCATAAGATAGAGTTGGAGCCGGGTGCAAGGGCTCCTGCTCAGGCCCCATACCGGATGACGCCTTCAGAACTGGCTGAACTGCGTAGACAGTTGGATGAGTTGTTGGAGTCTGGCTATATTCAACCATCCAAGGCACCGTATGGCGTGCCAATATTGTTCCAGAAGAAGCAGGATGGCTCAATGCGGATGTGTGTGGACTATAGGGCTCTGAATAAGGTGACTGTGAAGAACAAGTATCCAGTGCCCAATGCCGCTGATTTATTTGACAGGTTGTCAAGGGCATCCTACTTTACTAAGCTGGATTTACGTGCAGGCTACTAGCAGGTGCGTATAGCAGAAGGAGATGAACCCAAAACTGCATGTGTAACTTGTTATGGGTCTTATGAATTTCTTGTAATGCCGTTTAGGCTAACTAATGCCCCGGCAACCTTCTGCAACTTAATGAATAATTTGTTTTATGACTACAATGATCGCTTTGTTGTTGTTTACTTGGATGACATTGTAGTCTATAGTGAGTCATTGAAAGATCACTTAAAACACTTGAGATTGGTTTTCTCAAAACTGAAGGAGTTTCAGTTATTTGTCAAAAAGGAGAAGTGTGAGTTTTGTCGCCAAGAAGTGATGTTTTTGGGGCATTGGATCAGTAAGGGCCATGTCAGAATGGATGAGAGAAAGGTGAAAACCATCCTTGATTGGTCTGCACCTGCCAAAGTGACAGAGTTGAGATCTTTTCTAGGGTTGGCAAACTATTACAGAAAGTTTATAAAGGGGTATTCCAAGAAGGTTAGTCCTTTAACGGACTTGCTGAAGAAGGACAAACAGTGGGTTTGGTCTGAGGAGTGCCAGAATGCTTTTGAGATGCTTAAGCAGGCAGTGTCTACAGAACCGGTCTTGAGACTGCCTGACTTTGGTTTACCATTTGAAGTGCATACTGATGCCTCTGATAGAGCAATTGGTGGGGTCCTAGTCCAAGAAGGACACCCATGTGCCTTTGAAAGCAGGAAGCTTAAAGATGCTGAACAGAGGTATACAACTCACGAGAAGGAGATGACTGTAGTGATACATTGTCTTGACGCATGGAAGCACTATCTGTTGGGTACCAAGTTTATAGTGGTGACTGATAATGTGGCCAATACTTACTTCAAGACATACAAAACGCTTACTCCAAAGCAAGCTCGTTGGCAAGAGTTTCTTGGGGAGTTCAATTTTGTGTGGGTTCATAGACCTGGAAAGCAGAATCAGGTTGCTAATGCCTTGAGTAGGAAAGAAGTGCAGGAGTATGTGGCGTCGTTGACAACGGTGTATCCTGATTTCCTTGACAGAATCAAAGAGCAATCTCAGTTCGACAATGCCTATCAGAAACTAAAGCAACAGGTTACTGATGGTGAAGTCAGAAAGTACAGGATTGAAGATAATCTACTCTACGCCAGAGGAGGTAGATTATATGTTCCTGTTAGAGGTTTGAGACGGGAACTAATGTGGGAAATGCATGATCCTCAGTGGGCTGGACATCCAGGGGTGGATAGAATGCTGGCGTTGATATCTAGATCACATTACTGGCCCAAGATGGAGGATGACATAGAGTTATATGTCAAGACTTGCTTGGTCTGTCAGAAAGACAAGCATGAGAGGAAGAAGGAGGCAGGGCTACTGCAACCCTTGCCTATACCAGAGCGTCCACAGCAGTCAGTTTCAATGGACTTCATTTCTGGTTTTCCTAAGCTGGAAGGTATGAGATCTATTTTTATGGTTGTAGATAGATTCTCTAAGTATGTAATTTTTATTGCTGCACCACATGCATGCCCAGCGGAAGTTGCTGCTGGTTTATTTCATAAGTTTGTGGTGAAATATTTTGGCTTGCCCGAAGATATTGTTAGTGATTGTGACACCAGATTTACAGGAAGGTTCTGGACAGTGCTATTTGGCTTGATGAGTTCTGAACTGAAGTTCTCTACAGCAAACCATCCTCAGACTGATGGACAGACTGAAAGGATGAACCAGTTATTGGAAGAATATCTGAGGCACTATGTCACTGCAAGTCAGAAAAATTGGCTGGAGTTGCTAGACACTGCACAATTGTCTTATAATTTGCACAGGTCTTCAGCAACAGGAATGAGTCCCTTTGAGTTGGCAACAGGGCAACAACCTCGCACACCACAGGAGGTAGCAGTGCAGAGGACTGGTGGAAGATGCCCTGCAGCATACCGATATGCCCGTTCCATGCAAGAGATGGTGGAAGAGGCACAAGACAGCCTTGCCAAGGCTGCGAGAAGGATGAAAAAGTATGCAGATAAAGGGAGAAGGCCATTAGAGTTCCAAGTGGGAGACAAGGTTCTGTTGAAGTTGACTCCACAGATTTGGAAGAAGATAAGCAGCAAGACTATTCACAGAGGGCTGATTCAGAAGTATGATGGTCCATTTGAAGTTGTGAAGAAAGTGGGGAATGTTGCTTATAGATTACAGTTACCTGAGAGACTGAAGGTCCATCCTACTTTTCATGTGAGTTTCCTCAAGCCTTTTCATGAGGACACTGCAGATACATCAAGACAGCGGGCTAAGAGAGCCCCACCTGTTATTCGGTTGCAGTTTAACAAGGAGGTGGAGAAGATTTTGTCTCACCGAACCCAAGGTCAGAGTAAGAAAAATCACAGAACTGATTACTTGGTGCAATGGAAAGGATGCAGTGAAGCAGAGGCGAGTTGGGAAAGAGATGTGACATTATGGCAGTTTGAGAAACAGGTAAGGGAGTACTTGGACAAGTCGACGAGGGCGTCGACTTCTTCTGGTGGGGGTGGTTTGTTAGCCCCTTGACGGTCGTCCAAGGGAAGACATGGACATTTCAAGGCCATGCCATGTCTCGAAAATACTTTGGCTTTGGTTAGACAACCATGAAGATGCTCAGTGGGTTGTCAGCGTGCACAAGATGCTCAGCGTGCACACAAGATGCTTAAAAGGATGCTCGGCGTGCACTGGGGGTGCCCAGTGGCATTTTTGTAAATATGGCGAAAAGTGAAACTTGGAGTTTTGACTCGGGATCTTTATGGTAGGTAACTTGAGTCCATAGAAGCTGGTTGGCGCTGACGACACTCAATTTGGATGTCGGGAAAGGCCTGAAAGGCCATTATGACTCCTCAAGCATGGGTGATGTTTACTCCTGTCAGAGTGCTGGATTTCCTTAAGACTATATTAGGGGGGCTCTGTTGAGCACATCGGTTGGGCTATGGCATGGCTTGCTTAGAGGGCTTAGCCAACGTGCATAGGCACGTGTTGCACCACTCCAAGATGGTTGCACAAGTGGGGAGCATCCAAGATGTTGAAGGGCAAACAAGTGGGCACCGACACGCGCGCTGGTGTGCAGCGGCGCGCGTGCAGGCGTGCAGGTGGGCACGCGGGCTGGCGTCCAACCTAGTGTGCGCGAGCATCTAGCTCGGCGTGCGCATGGGTGTCCAGGTGGGTGTATAGCCACGGGCGCATGAGGGTTCAAACATGGCGCGCGAAGAAGGGCACTAGTATGTGCGCCGGCGTGCACTTTGGTGTGCACCCGAGCGTGCGCACGGGCGTGCATGGCTTGGCACGCCGTGCACTCAGAGACATATATATGTGGGTGCAGATTGGTGGACTTGGCTTGGGCTAGGTTCACAAGGTTGACTCAGATGTGGCTAGAGCATGGACAACACAAAGTCATGGCTTGCGGTTATAAGAGGTGGTGGCTTAGTGGGCTCGGTCGGTTGGGGGAAGTTACTAGCACTTCCCACTCATCATGGGAAGTGGGGGAGTGCTGAGTAACCTCCCAAGCATGTGGCACAATTCTGAGAGGACCAACACGCAGGCGGTTAAGGGTGGTTTCTTCCACTATGCAGAATGTAACTTCTTGTGGTTATGTGGTATGAGCAGAACATGCCACCAATTCTAGCAGTTGGGCTTGTCAACTGCATTATAATGCTGGCACATTTAGAGGGTGCCAGCACGACCCTAGGTGGATGGGGGTGTCATCCATCGTCTTAGTGGGCAGTTATAGGCGGTTTTGAGAGTGGCCTATATAATGCTAAGGTGGGCTTTGTAGAGGGAACAGAGCGGAGGGTGTGAGCCTTGGTTGTTCCTTGTACGAACTCATGTTCCTTTGTAATATGTTTAATATGAGCAAAGGTTGGGGCTTGTCCCTGTAAACTGTGTGTGTGCCTTCTTTACATTTCTAGACTATGTGTATTGTGTTGTTGTGTTGGCTAAGACTTGGTGGCCCCAAGTGCCATTGCAGAGGCAAAAATTCGTGGTGTAATTTAGCCCTGTGACAGTAAACATGGCGGAGGAGGCATGTATTTTATAAATTTTATACATTTAAAAGAAAAAATTAATGAACCAGCATGCCCCAGGGCCATGCTGGAACCGGCCATGTTAGGTTGGATAAAAACAAAACCTTTCGACGAATTCTATATTAAGATTAATTAATGATATGCAAGCTATTATGAAAACAAAGTGGTTAGAAAAACCAAAAAAAAAATTGTTCGGGCCTCTGCCTCGTAGATTTCAAATACCATTAAAGAAAGTAATACGTTGCCATTTAGGAACTCTTTCATCTAGAAGATGTTATGGAAATGCCATTTGTGCGTGTTATACTATATCGTATCAAAAAACACACGTTATGAACTATAAAAAAAAAAGGCAGAAAAGGATGGCGCAAAAATATATATATATTAAGTGCCCACTCAAATAGATTGAGGGAAAAAAAAAAATACAAAGAATAAGAGAACCAAAAGAATTTTCAGGAATTAAACACTAAGCAGATTAACAGACATATTTATCATTTGCATTTCAAATTCTGGATTTTCTGGCTCGCGATATTAACTTCCATGGTGCAATTCATATTGATAGCTTTCTTCTTCTTCATCACCAGCATTAGCTCCACCTTTCCGGTCAATCTTGATGTGCTGCTCAGTGGCAAAATCCCAGAATTGAAATCACTTCCTAATTCTGAACTGGTTGGTAAATTGGTTGATGATAGGTTTATTGTAACATTGAACCTCTTGGTGGATTGAAATTTAGCCGTTGACTTAGGAACAAAAGCATTCCCTATTTCTGCACCCCTGTAGTAGAAGGTAATGGTACTATTGTCGAATTTGTAGGGACCGAAGTTGGTGTTCTTGACACCAAGTCGTGCATTCATTCTCATGTCAAATGATGAAGCCGTGACACTAAACGTCTCGAATGAGGCATCACGTACGCGGAACTTGGGAGTTTTGACCTTCATGACAGTGAGTGAAAAGATGACTATAACAATGGTTTGGAACACAGCAAACGCAGCAATATATAGAATAAGTTTCTTGCGTTTCTGGCGTTTAAGTTCTTTGGTTTGTGACTCTTCGTCTGCTCGGCCATAGTTATATGGTGTTGCCGAGTTATGCCCTGGTTGCTGCTCCTTCTCTGCCATTAATCTTCTTGATAAAGATTGACTTGTTTAGAAATATGGTATTGAAGAAAGGGTGGTGGCCGGGAGTACGTGAAATATGAGCAGTTATATGAATATGCTATGTATGCTTTTAAGCGATATAAGAATTTAGCAGTGAAATGTAACACTTTTGCTGAAAGTTTTAAGATATGTTGGTGAGGACTAATGGGTTTGTTGCAAGCTATATTTATAATGGTATGTTCTTTTTTTTTTAATGGATGTAAAATAATTATGAAACACCTCCCTTGAACCTTCACAGACAAGGGCTACAAGTTTGACTTTCTAGAAACGCGCCAAAGTTGTGTGACTTTGTTGATATATCACTCCATTTTTCTTGACACGCAACATTCTTAAATAAAATAATAAATATCTGATTAAATAATATAAGATGGTTCTATAGGAAACATATTAAAAATAGTTTCTCAGTGCCGTACTTGACCCCATGCAGCCAATTTTTTCTCTTCAGTTAATTTTGTTTACATTCTTCCTATCGTGTTTCTCATCATTTGTCCTGTGCCGAGTAAGGAGCAGTCGGTCACTGTCCATCAATGTCAGCTCTTCAAAAATTTGAGTGGTCAATCACTATCCATCAATTTCATTTTTAAAGAACTGGGGCAATGTTTGCACTCTAAAAATAAAGGTTTATCGAACCACATGATGTTTGCCGATCGAAGGAAAAAAGGTCATTTTGTTTTAATAAGAGTGAGTTGTAGATTGTTCGTTAGAATTCAATTCAAAGGTGATTCCCATATCATATATTTCTTTTAGAAAATCTATGAAGACATGTGGCAAAGATAGGGATAAACATGCAAGATGTCATTAATAAGACAAGTGCAGGAAACTACATTTTGCAAGTTTAGTGCCATGTCATCAAAGTTATTTGATTTTAGGGATAATTACTAATACGTGGGCTTAAGGACTCAATGTTACTCTAAAATGGAAATAAAGTCTTGATTTTCTCTAAAAGGATTGACCTAGATAATATTTCTCTAAAATAAATTCCACTTTATGCTTTATATCACAAAAGAACTTATAATACTAAAATGACCCAAAGTAATATTTGAATAGAAAAAAAGCCTTAGATCATGAAATAAAATTACAGAACGGTTTTTTAAACAAAATATTTAATATTTTTTTCTTTTCTTTTTAATTTTTCACGGTAAGTTAAAATTAGACAATAGCTTAATAAAGACTTATAGACTTCTTTAGACAAAAGATCGCATATATAAATTTAATTTAACGAAACAGTATAGCGCTGATACCAAAATTGAGACGGATCCGACCGGATAGAAGCATGCAAAATAACATAGAAGCAATTTAACAATTAAATCACAGAAATGACTGCCGAACCTGATATCGCTCTGATAATGCCCTGTAAAAACGCCTGAACACCGGCAAAGAACAGGCCAACAAGCCAACAGTTCGAGTCAACTCACAGAAGAAATTGCTAAATTAAACTAAGGCTGCTTGTACTGGTTGGAATATGTGAAAACTCTAGGATCTACATTGTCTGGCTAAATAAAATCTATATATTTGATCTATTTGTCGACAGAAGTCTTTTGCCCGAAAGTACTGAAAATACTAAATAAGGAAAAGAAGTTTATTGAACAGGAGCAAACTAGATGATTTATTTCATGAGAAATATATACATAGATACACACTGTTTATACATGGATACACTTGCACACTATATGTTACAAAGGAAATATACTGAAGGAAATCACAAAGGAAAACACACTAGAAACTGAAGGCTAGGACGCTTGATGATTCGAGACTTGTTTGCTCTAAAACTCGATGATCTTCATTTGAGCAGAGAGGTTCCTTTTATAGCAGAAGAGAGGGATGAATCGGCGGTTGAGATTGAAGATGCCGCATGGATGGTTGAGATTCAAGATACTTTAGAGATAAGATGGCATGAATTATTGCTGAACTGTTGATGTCGTCTTCTGGAGAATTATATTAACTTTTGCTGTTGGGAATTTGCTTCCGGTGGATCTGCTTTTATCTGTACACTATTGAGGATCTACTTTTTACTGTAAAGAACCTGCTTTTTGCTCAAAATTCGTGCATATTATCCAAATTTCTGTCGGTTGGGCTAGCTGGTGAGATATCTCCTCTGTGCATGCGGGCCAGATATTCATCAGTACTGTCTGGTGAGCTAGTTTCTTCGTTTCTGAAGGCCAGTTCAAGCTGTTCTAACAGCATCTTTTCCTCATTTATTATTTCTTCAACTTCCGGGGATATCTCAATCTCTGGAGGAGACTTAATGACATGAGGAATTCTTGCCTTAACAAAAATTTCCATATTGATATTCTGATCATAGAGTTTGAAACCAGGATTGTAGCTTTGGTTAATTTGTCGATAAGCTTTATAGTACACCAAATGGTTAAAGGTAGTGGGGTCAATTTCAACACAAAAGTTATTTGCGAAATCAACATGTCGTGTTAGAATCTTGATTTCAGTTGGATCAGAATGAATGTAAACTTGATGCTGTCCCAAAATTATCGCTCCATCTTTTACCCATTCTGGGGGAGTACTGTGGATTTGAAGGAGAATTGGACTTTCTGGCATAAAACTCTAGGTTATTTTTTGTTCGAAGGAGATGGCTTGGTTTAAACGGTTGGGAAAATTACACAGAGAATTAAGATATTCTAAGGGCGTATCCTTGGGTATTGTGACACTGTAGATCATTCCTAGTTCTAATAGCTTGCTTAAATAACAAATGGTTGTTTTGGTAGAGAAAAGGGTTTTTCTCGTTATTTCAAAAGGAATAAAGAAAATAGGATCTACATCTAACAAGATAACGGACATAAGTATCTGGGTGCCTGTTTGTATAAATCGTAGGAAAAAGTAGTTATATTGGGTTCCTTTGGGTGGACTGTTATTTTTGAGGTAGTTTTGGATATCAACCCACTCTGTGAGACCATCAGACTTAATCTCTTCAAGAATAAGGTCTTTAAGATCATCAGGGAAGAGCTCAACTTGTTGTCTTAGGATTTCTCTGTAAGTTGAGGAAAAGAGGGGTAGAAGCTTAGCATACTTGGTTTGTACCTGCAAAAACTGAACTTTCTAAAGATTTTCATCTTCATTAGTTATCTGTTCAGAAATAGTTAGTTCTGTGGGGTTTTCTGTTGATCTTTGATAGGCTAAATTTAACTTTTTATAATGAGATATAAGAATCTCGTGCTCCTTTTGTAAATTCTGATATGCTGTATTAGTTGATACAAAATATTCACTTAATGTATTTAGATTTCTAACGAGGGTTCTATCGGGGTTGTTTCTGGAAAACCAAATATTATCTAAAATAAGTTTTTGGTCAGGCAAAAGATTATGTCTAGCGCGGAACTGTTGAGCTGGGTTTTGGATAATTAAAAGAGGATTAGAAGTGCCTGGTATAAGGCTATAGCTATTGTTGCTCGTGATCTCCATTCTTGCAAAATTTAACAATCGATAAGTAAACGAGATAGAATATCTGCTAAATAATTATCTTTTCCTCTGACATGTTCAAATATAGGTTTAAAACCTCTTCTAGTAATACAGTCAATAAAGGAAATCCACCTTTTAGCAGACATCCGTTGTTGTTTTGCTTTATTTGCGAATTTAATTATATTATCACAATCTGTTCGTATAAGAAATTCTTTATCAAGGAAAATCTGAAATTTTTCAATAGAGTTGGTTACCCCTAAAATTTCTAAGTCCTTGGAGGGTAAAATAGATTGTGCTTTATTAAAGGTTCTACTAGTATGGCGACAAATTTGTTCTTCATCTCGGGAAGACTCTTTTGTTGGTCTTTGAAGAAGTAACCCTGCCCATCTTTGAGTTGATGCATCTGTTTGAATAATTTTATAACTTTTTTCAAGTGGAAGCTGTAAAGGTTCTAACTGCGAGACTAAAGATTTAATTTTCTTAACTAATTCTATATCTTGGGTATTGAAATACTTTTGACCATGTTTTCTTAGTTTTGAATATAAAGGTCCGACTAGTTGTCCTAATTTTGGAATAAAATTGCGACCATAGTTTAATAATCCTAAAAATGCTTATAACAACTTGGTCGCTTCTAATTTATCAGGAAAGTCTCAAATCTTTTTAACAATATGAGATTGTAATTCTATTGTTCCATCTTTTATGTATAAACCTAAGAATTCAATATCTTGTTTTTCTAATATCATCTTTTTACTACTTATAATGAGTCATTGTGTTATGAACTCAGTGAATATAATTTCAAGATGTTTTCTATGTTCTTCTTTAGTTTGACTGAAGACTAAGATATCGTCGATGTAAACACAACAGAATTTTGAGTGTTTATTAAATATAGTATCCATTTTTCGCTGAAACTCTTGGGGTGCATTTTTTAATCCAAAAGGCATTACAAACCACTCATAATGTCCTTCAGGACATGTGACCGTTGTCCATTCAATGGATTCATCAGCCATCCGAATTTGCCAAAATCCTGATTTACAGTCAAATTTAGAAAACCATTTTCTATTTTGGATTCGATTTATTAAAACATCTTTATTAGGGATTTTATAACTATCATCATAGGTATTATCATTTAATCTTTTATAATTTATAACCATACGAGCCTTTCCTCTTTTTATTTCGGCATGATTTCTAACCATAAAAGCTGGACTCCTATGTCTACTATTACTTTTTCTTTTTACTTTTAATAATAATAGTTCTTTAATTTGTCTTTGGAATTCTTATTGATCGTCTAAAGTATGAGAATTATCTTGTGTCTTTATAGTTATAAAAGGAGTTTTTATATTTAATTTTGCTTCAATTTTATTTTTATACCAGTATTTCTGGGGGTTTTCACCTAAAATTTCTGTGGTTTCAGCTAATCTTATGAGGTTATCTATGTTTAGTTTGGGGTTTTTAATATGGCTTTATTATTAAGGAAAATCTTTAGTTCATCAAGATGACTAAGAAACATTAAGGCTTCAGAAATGTCTTCTAAAAATTCGGATACATCAAATAAATTT